TAATTTATTCAGAAGTATTCAAACATCTTTAATGTTCATAACCAGTTTATTCCTTTTCAATTCCATATTTGATTCTTTTCTCTACTGCCTGTAACAAACAACTACATTCAATATTTCTCAGATTAAAAAATATCAGGAATTCTTGAAGTATTCCCCCACCATTCTCCCATCATTACAGACTTAGATATTTAAGACTGTCCTCTGTCTCCGAGGAAGTTCTGGCAAACACAGGACTTTCAACAGGCCAAGAGAAATAAAGGCACATATATGGTTCACCATCCATTTGTTATTCATAATTAATATTATTATTTAAATAAGCATTTTGTTAACATGTCATATAAATGACAAATTTTTAAAGTTTCCTATATGAAGTACAAATGCTAACTTCTTTACACTTTTATCCAAGATTTACTACTGCTGAAGGGAAAATTCTGAGATTTATCAGTATTGCTTTGCAAGGAGACAAAACACTCCTCTACATGCACTGCCAACCCCACAGTATCAGCATCACCTGACGCAGACGTTTATTTGATGTTCCTGGACTGGTTTTTCTTAAACTGCAAAACATCTGCAGAGCTTTCATCCAGTCCTAAGAGAGAAGGATGCAGAATAGTGTCATGAAACCAAGTCAGATACAGCTTCTTGTAGTGGAACAAACATATCTAAAAAGAGTATCTGAATTTTCACTTTATCGTGGCAAAAGCTATGTTTTCTGTAATTCCAAAGCATGCAGGTTTGAATAAAGCAAATTCCTTATCTTTACTGAGCAAAACCTCAAAGGATTTGCAAATGTGAACCATTTTCCCTTTAGCACCATCAAGCAATACTAATGGATATACAGTGTGACTTGTATCAATTTTCCAGTCTAGCAATTCTACAAGAAATTACAAACTGTATATAAAATTAAGCAAAACTTCTTTGCTTCTGAGAAAACTACATTTAACAAGCCAAACTGGTTTCATTATTCTCTCCAGTACTCTTACATGGCAGTTGTAACACTGTGTATACTTCAAGTGAAAACTAAAACATTAACGGAGAAACACAAAGCATATACCAAACATTCCCCAGTTTGCTCATAAATGCATTCAGCAAAGTGCATGAATGGATTCCATTCTGGTCATGGAAATAAGCCGATTGACTAACACCAAGCTGACTGTAGAACCTTTGTGTGTTTGGCTTTTTTAACAAATAAGCTGCTAAGAGGCATTGTCAACTTGCCAGGCCACCTCTGAAAAAGTCACTGCAGTGTGAGAAATTTGCCAACAGGAGAGCTTTGCAAGGGGCCTCTGCAAGACCCATGCTATAGTTTTTGTCCCCTGGCCCTCAAATTTTGTCTATCTCCTGCAAAAGCACAAAATTTAGGTTTTGAACAACAACCTTCTTAACTCTGTATCTCAAAGATCCACTACCTGCTCTCAAAGTACAATTTAACAATGTCATTGAACCCCCCACAACACTGCTTTAATCTTACCCTTCACAATATCTTCCACATTTAAAAACAGATTAATATGTACTGCAGCTATTCTCAGCTAGACCACTTTGCGAGTCAGGCTTCAGCTTTCAAATCCTTCCACAGAAGGAAAAACTTTCAGCTATGCACCATGAAGTTTCTATTCCTCCTTGAAACGTTACAGAGTAAAGAAAGCTGAGCTTTTTCAAAAGAGAAATGTCTGTAAATGTTTCTGGGCCAAAGCCATATTATAAAGAAACCTGAAACAACTGCATTCTGTGTAAGTGCTGTGAACAGCCTGTTAAGAAGATCAAAACCAAAAGCAGATTATATCCAATGTTCAGGAAACAAGACAGGATATTCTGCCTCCTACACATTTTAATAGTTTTTAGAACACAACAGATTTGCAGACATGACAAAAATTAATGTACAGTAACAAGCACGGAAATTAATGCATATATTCTCAATTACTATACAGCATACTGCTTCTCAAAGACCGTACAATGACAGTTGTGTGACAAATGCCACTACATTATTCTGATGTCATCTCAGCAAATTTCACAAATTTGCATTAATTTAACAGGAAAATTTGTGTTTGCCTTCATATACAGAACAAGAAAAATACTAAATGTATACAGCCTTCATGCTCTGGTGAATAACAGTCTATTATGAGTGCTCTAAACAGCTTTAATTCCATTCAAATAAAATCAAATGCAAAGCTTAACTTCTGATACAACAGGTCTAATTCAGAGCTGTGGGCTTTCAGAGCTTAAAACTTAATAAACAAGAACATTGTGTCATTTTAGATATACTCTCCTGCCAACTAATGAATTTCAGAGAAGTAGGTTCCTATCCCACAATTCTTAATCAGCAAATATAACTGTTAAGAGAGCTAAAGGATATAATTTAAAACCAGAAAACCTCATATTTTGTGCACCATCAGGGCCAAAGACTATGAACAACTACCAGTTTATGGACAGGACAAATAATTGCAGAAGGCAGCTGTTCAATATCCTTTGGTCATTGGGCACACATGTACATTAGCATTTTATTTCATTTTATTATTTCACTCTGAAGTAAAACTCTCACTTCCTATGCTGTGGTTTATAACATGGAAAAGTCTTGGAGAGTAAATTTTTCTTCTGAATTGACTATTAAAAAAATCTTCTCCAGAAACATAGGATGGAAAATAATGGAAGCTCAACCCATGGGACCTGACTGGAACTTATCCAAACTAAAACCCCAAAGAGCAAGTAGTGTAGGTGCTGGATTCCCAGCACCAGCCTTTCCTCTTACACATCTGCTACTACTCCATTTGAAGGCCTGCAAGTGTAACCACTAACTACTTGTGATACACTTGCTTCCTGTTTGAGAAGGGCAAAATCATTACACAACACAAGATTAAAAGTTACTTTTTGAATTACAATTAGCAACAAAAGCTCTCACCTGTGCTTGTTCTGGAGTTTCGCCTGCAAAGTAAAAGATGTAATGCTCTTCACTAAAGTGCTGAACTACTATCTGAAAACAGTTTGGCCTTAAAAATAAAGAAAACACAAATAATGTAAGTTTTATTAATCTTCACACATTAATGGATACCTTCACTTGATCTGTGCCAAAACAAACTTTACACTGAACCAACAGATTTCTGCTGTTTATCTGTAAGGAGCATTGAACATTGCCTCAATTTTTTGTATGTCTATGTGTCAGCACACATGGAAAAGGAAGAACTACAATGACAAGTTGGCTCAGGTCCTTCAAATTTAATTTTGGTTTTGAATGTATTATGTCATTTTGAGAAAACCACACTTCAACACAGGTAGCCTGCTTCAGAATATTGACAGACTTTTAGAATGGTCTGTAGTGAGCAGGCTTACAGTAAAGGCAAAAAACCAGCCACCTGGTAATGGAAAAGACTTACCAACAAGGACTATACCTAGAGAACTTAAAAGCAGCAGAGGTTCAGCATTAGTTCACAACCAGTTAATCATGCATTAAGGATTTGTTCTTTCAGGAAGTAGTATTAATCTAAAGAAACACCTATCAGAATGTATCCCACAGCTCTCATGACCATTGAAATTTGTACTGGATTACACACTAAAGACTGAGCATGTGTGACACAAACCTCTACAACATTAAATGTTACAGAAGTAGAGACTTCACTGTCCTTCTGAGGAAAGGGCAAAGCCAATTTTTTGCCAGCTATTTAAAATGCAGGAGTAACAGTTCCTCACTAACAGCTTCCTAAGATGCAGTGACCATGCATCTTCTCATATGCACCTGCAGTACACCTCCTTACTGTCCAGCTACACTCTAATCCACAACACAGGCTTGCTTGAACACAGTTTAAGAGGCATAAACAAGATGTTCCTTGATTACAATATACACCAAAGCTTCCTGAATAATTATATATTAATTATCCTGAATATATATATATATTCCAGTAGCTAACTGTGAGGGTTTTTTCAAAATTATTAAAAAGATTTTAAAAAACCCCAAACAGGTAAAGCATAACACCAATCTTTACAGTTTCAGAAATGCCACTAGTGTTAAGCATCCATCTTGACGGTTTTTTACAAAAATATCTAGAAGTTGACTATGTATAATGTTTTAATAAATATTAAAATCCATAGGATAACCAGAATTTCTAATTTCTATCATTTAATATGTAAGTGTCCTTATGTCTTCTATAAAACATTACAATACAGAGCAGTGGGCTTTTTTTTTTATGACCAATGAATAAATATGTAACTCTTTCATGTTAATTACTAATGATATCTGAAGGACCTTTGAATCTCAAATGCCTTGCTGATAATCACATCCCTTGCAGTTAGCTTATTTTGAATATCAAAATACTACAGTAAATAAGATCTGATATGAAAATTATCTCTGAATAAAGTAATTGTGCAAAAACAATTTCTGAGGATGTTTGCATACATGAAGCAGTTTACTACTAAGTTGGTCAAATGTAACAAAAGTACTTGCTCTTACACAGAAAAGCACTTACAAACTTCATCTAACCAAGTTAGCTTTCAAATACCTCTCAAAAGAATGTAGAATTTTGGAACTGAGGAAACTGTATCTTGTCAACTCTTGGTTCAATAGGATTAAAGAAAGCCAGTGTCCTACCTGCCAAACAAACTGTCATGTACTCCATAGACAGAACACACACTAAGGTCTATCAGTCCTTTGGGTTTTGTGGCTCGTTTTTCACTTTCAAAATAAATAAGCTGGGCATCATTTCCCTCTAATATAAAGTACAAGTTTTTCCATCTTTTTCCTTTACCTGTACAAGAATCAAACAAAAAGTTGCAATATTGTTTAAAAGAACATCTAAATTTTGTAAATTCAGAAAACAGAAGAGGGCAGTAAATTTTTTTCAAATTCCAAACACAAGAACAATGTACAGGTAATCACACTTGAATTATGTCATCAGTATACATACTCAATTTTACACAACGTGGCTAAAACTAAATCCTCTTCACAGATGCAAGTAGGTTGCAAAAGGTTCTTGAAATATTTTCACTAATCTCAACAGTACTAAGCAAGAGCATATGAGCTGTTTGAACAGTGAATTCCCATCAGTGTTATGACTGTTCATACACAGATTGAAAATGACAGTGTGGATCCCATTTATTACATTTTTATTAAGAAACAGATTCTTGACATGAAAAAGTTACCCCTAAACTCTGACCAATATTTAATAGATTGCATTACAGTATCTTAAAACAATATGGCTGAAGAACAGAAATGAGAATTTATTATATGCAAACTTAAATCAGAATCGAGACCCAAACACAAACATGTCTAAGAATTTGGCTGCTTCCAACTGCTTCACAGAAAAAGTTCTCTGAACTGCAATGGATTAGGAACTTTCTGCAATTAATTAATGCCTAAGTCAGAGCACCATTTAGAAGAAAACCTTTCAGCCTTTATTTTATAGTTTAATTGTCATAAATCCACTGGGGCCTCAGTAAATGAGTATGAACACTGCTTTGAAAAGACAAATGTAACATCCATTTATTACACTATAACTCCTAGATGGAAGAGTGATTTTGCTGCACATATTTCATATGCACTCTGTGCATCTCTCTACTACTCAGTATCCTGATTTGCACATATGAGATAATGTATCTCATTACCACTTTGATTCATTGTTATTTGATTCCTTACTCCACGGCATCCCTCCACACCTTCTCTCAGAATCAGTGTTGTCCACATAACAGATGCTTTCCTTGTTCTGTTAAGAGGGTAGAGATTGGGGTGGCTTGTTTGGGACTTTTAATGTCTCTTGGCTATAGGTAAAATCACTTGTTTCTCACATTTGGTCACTATCCAAATTACTATGTGTAGCATAACCTTGTCATTTGCAGAAATTTTGTTATTGATAGTTTCTGCCTCTGTTAAAGTCGAGGTTTTTAAAAAAGAAATATCACACTTGGTAATGAACTTAGCTTCCTCAGAACTTCAGGGACTTGCTCAATAGCAATACTTCAGGGTTATACTGGGATGAGTCAAGTTCTCCGTGTTTAATGTATGTTATGTTGACTGTGTCAGTGTTAGAACCCTAAAAAAGTCAATATATTCTTGTATGGCAGACTACACATTTTGAATTTAAGATTTCAAACATGTGGCCTACCTTGGAAAAGCAAAATTAAACCAGCTGTGCTCTGCAATGAATGTACAGATTTACACTATTCTAGCTCTCTCAAACCTGCCCTGTGATGTAGTGAGTTCCATACTTAATGCAAACGCTTTATGAAAATATACTTGACTTAATGAGTTTGAATGTTACCTTTGACAAGGATGCCTAATTTTTGTGCTGTGCTCTGATTTTTTTCAGAACTGCCAATCAGCACTTTCACACTGCATGTAATTTCATCTAACATGTTGCTTTATTCATCTACTACTTAAGGAAAGATCTTTCATCCTCCTCACATGCTTTCTAGAACCTTTAGTGCATTTCAGTTTTGCTCCTTCTAGTACCACTACTACACAAAACTCACTTGGTATGCATGTTCAGCTAGCAGGTGCTGATCTCCACTCTCTGGTGACCAGCAGTGGGGCATGAAAAAATGCCATGACGTTGCAGCAGAGGAAGTTCAGATTGGACTACAGGAAAAAGTTCTTCACTGAGAGACTGGCTGGTCCTTGCTACAGGCTCCCCAAGGAACTGCTTGTGGCAACAAGCCTGTCAAGGTTTGAGGAGCATCTGGACAATGCTCTTAAGTCACATGGCTTAGCTTTAGGTAAACCTGCAAGGAGCATGATCCTTATGGATCCCTTCCAATTAAAGGGATTCTATGATTCTGTGATCCCTATCTGCCTTTTTGGATTTTTTTTGGTAGAAAAAAATTAAGTAAACAAAACTCACTTTTTTTCAGAAGATAACCTTTTTTGACAATATTTTTATAAAAAGCATCCTTTGTTTTCCGGCGAATTGTGTTGTAGATTTCTTTTCCATCCACGGTATCATTAAGCACTTGTTCTTGGTGCTGGGAAACATGTGGAAAAAACAGATTTTAAGCTCAGAAATTTCCATTTAAAATTGCGTATTATGACATTGCAACCAGGATTATTTTAGTGAATGCCACCAACTCACTACTAATGTCCTCTCATACATTTTAATAAAATAATATAATTTTTCATACAACACACTTGCTGGAAATGTAATAAAACTATTTCCATATTTCCAGAATTATGCCAGAAAAAAAGAGTTTTCAATATAGACCAACTTCTACATAGTAACATTCTGTCTTTTCACATAAAAATAAAAAGCAGGATCTATTGCTGTTATTTCTATTACATTTGTGCAAGACTTTTAAGATTTGTCTAGCTTCTAACTGTCTTCCACCAAACCCTGTGGGACTGAGTAATCATGGATAAACTCTGGAGCAACAAAAATGGTGCAGATCACAATTAAAACTGATTTACACAAAATGGCACAGAGCCTCATTAATCTCATTAGAACTCACATGTCTTAATTGAGCAGAACTCAAGACAAGAGAAGAAAGCAGCAAGCAGAAAAAGGATAAGTTCACACAGAAAATGGTAGGATCTGGAAACTCAAGTAATAAACCAAGCCAAGTATGACCTTACCAAGTAAGCTGATCAGCAAAAGTTCTTTAGCCATAAGAAAACATGAAAAGTAAGACTGTCAAGCAGTGAAAACAGCAGTGAGATGAAAGAAGCCATATGAACTAGCTCTTGCATAGTATTCTACATTTCTTCCTGCCCATATATCTGCAAGAATTATGATTTTGAACAAAACAACAAAAGCAAGATGAAAAATAATTTGAAAATACTAACATGAACCACAGGACTTACAATGGAAGCAATATCCAGATGTTATGACCTAAAGATAACATTCATAACATAACTACACAAGGAGCAGTGCACAAAACAACGAATCTAGTGACAAATACCTTTAAGTAAATTTCATGTTAGACATGGGAAGTCAATCAGACTGACCCTAAAAGGATGCAAAATTTGTGAATTTTTTTCCCCTCAAAAACACAGAGCATGGTGGTGTGTGTAAAGGAAGTAACACAAAGTAGAACATTAGTTGTACCACTGGCACCTAAATTTTTAAACAGAGTCATAGATGTATCTGATTAGGTTAAAAGGATCACACGTAGAAGAAGATTAGTCAACATAAAGTTTATTAATACAGGAACTATAAGTGTATATGCAAAAAGCTGAAATCAAGAGTTACTGTCATGATTCAAGAGGAATGATGAAGCATGAGGAAAGTCACTAGTGAAGTTTTTCGAGGAGTAGTCTGGGAACTCATATTTGTTTTCTGCCCCAGCCACATTAGTGTGTGCAAGTTAACATTAGCAAACAACAGGGAAGCACACAATTAGCAGTATAGGAAAGAATGGAATAACAAGATGTACATCTACTAATGCAATATAAAAGTTCCACCTGTTAATATTTACCATTAGAAAATAGAAAATAAGACAATTGAATAGCTGAGGCAGTCACTGGAGGACCAGGCTATGACAACATATGAGTCTGGCACAGATGGACTTAACTGTTGCCATTGCAGCCCCTAAGGTGCTGTGTTTCGGTTTTATTACTGAACCAGTGCTAACACACTAGTGTCCTAGCTCTTGCTGATCAGTGCCTGCACAGCCTCAAGACCTTCTCCATCTCCCACTCTGCCCCCCTCCACAGGGAGGTGGACTTGGGTGGAGCTCCATGTACAAGAGCAGCATAGAGTTCCTGGAGCAGGTCCTGCAGAGGGCAACAAAAATGATTAAGGAACTGGAGCACCTCACTTACAAGAAAAGGCTGAGAGAGATGGACCTGTTCAGTCTTGAGAAGAGATGACTGAGAGGGGACTTCATTAATGTATATAAGTATCTAAAGTGGGGGGTACCAAGATGATGGACCCAGGCTCTTCTTGGTGGTACAAACCAATAAAACAAGCAGTAATGTGCAGAAACTGGTGCACAGAAGTTTCACCTGAATACAAGAACTTCTTTTCTATGCAAGTCACTGAACAGATTGCCCAGAGAGGTTGTAGATTCTCCCTCACTGGAGAAATTCAGTAACTGCCTGGATGCAAACTTGCCATGTGCTCTAGGACAATCCTACTTGGGCAGGGAGGTTGGACCAGATAACCCACTGTGGTCCCTTCCAATCTGATACATTCTGTGATTCTGTGGCAAGATGCGGGGAGCAGAGACAGCCAGGACAGCTGATCAGAGGGGTATTCCCTGTCATATACCATCATGAACAGGAATAAAACTGTGTGTGGGTGAGGAGGTTTCTTTCTGAGTGACCACTGTCCAGAGACCTGCTGGGCTTGTGGGAGGTGGTGAATGATTGCATCACCTCTACCCATGCCTTCCTTTGCTTATTAGACCGTATTTATCTCAACTCAGTTTTTGTGCTTTTGCCACCATCTCACAGGAACAGCAACTGAGCAAAGGTGCAGGTCCTTAGCTGCTCACCAGGGTCAACCCACCACAGAAAATGACATGTATTGTAGGATATTAAGTAATGTCCATACAGAAAGGGAATTACCCATGACATAGTACTCTAAACTGTTCTGGTCCACCATGTTCAAGTAGGGCAAGTTCACATCAAAATTTGTAGCAGCAGGGTAGCTACAAGAATATTACAAAGAGACAGAAGCAGCTTTGGTGCGCTTAGCTGGGTAAACAGAGGAAATGTATCAACATGACAGATCTCACAAAGCGGTATGAATTGACTGTTACTCTATTTAGGAAGGACAGGAAAGCCTCAGAACAGACAGGGAATAAAATACGCATGTAAATGTTTTAACTAGCTACAAGCTCATGAAAAGCTAAATGATGTGGTGTGCTTATTACTGGTGGTCTCTTAGAATCAACTTCTGATACAGGGCAAGTGTACTCCAGAACAGATGCTGCAATCCCAGCTCAGCCATCATCCCTGATGCTCTTCTGTGTGCACAGGTTTCCTCTGTCAGGAGAAAAACTCCAGACACAGAATAGAGGAGAGCAGACTGTTCCCCCTACCACGGGACTAAGTCACAGCATGGGTGAGCCACCGACCAGAGCTAGGGGCAGAGAGCAGAGGTTTAACACCTCAGAGGACAGACACAGCTTACCATATTTTCTATTGACTTTGGTAAGTGAATGCATGTGAAGATAAAATGAAAGAAACAGATAAGCTGAAAGCATTAAAACTGAAGATGATGCTGTTTAACTACCACTGGTATCTCTGATGTAATTCAGTTAATAAACTGATTTGGCAATGATTCAGCCTGTGACTTGAACATCAAACTCTCAGAGATGAACTCTTACCTGCATTGGAACAGGATCTTTAAGGTAATATCCTTCAACAATCTGTTCTTTTCTATAGTGCTCAATGATGTCAGCAATACTGTTCCAATAAGAAAAAGAGGATTGAAATGTTAAACAGGTTAATTTTTCTTCTGCTTGAGAATCTGATTTTCCACACAACCACAGAAAACTTTCTCACAAAGTTTTAATGAAATCAAGTGTTAATCATCATAATCTTATTTGTAGCAATGAAAATTTACTAATACACTCAAGTCAAGAAAGTTCACAAAACTATATTCAGAATGCATTAATTCTAAACTCTGCAAAATATTTTAAGGAGTTGCTTAAAATGACAAATGAGGACACTGCACTTTCCACATTTACATAGCACATGTGCATTACTCACTTTCCAACCAGGTCAAAAATTACTATTTCATTGGCAGTAATTTTCAAACTCCTACAGTAACTAGGGAAGGGGAATGGGACATACTCCAAGTGAAGCGCAGTCTCTTTCTAGGAGGACACAAGTGAAAAACAAAAAAGGTTTGTAGCAGAACTTATACAGATTATACTTGGAAATCACCGAGATATCCTGTGGAATTAAATACTCAGTTGATAGCCCTCCTCTACAGGGAAGCATTCATTCTAATCACCAGATTCAGATTACGGAAGTCTATGGAAAGAAGTAGTGACAGACACAAGCTGAAATTTAAGGCATTTGAATTGCTCTAACTTATTTTTGCAGTTACTGAAATTTACATTTCAACAAAGAATACCAACATCAATAGAAATTAGTAATTTGTATGCAAAATATAAATCTAAAAAGAGATAAATAATTAAGCAGATAAAAATGTACTGTGCATGTCTTCTCCAGACATGCAGACTCAGCTGGGTGTGCAAAGATAATGAATGCGGTGTGTGTTCAACACAGGAACAATATCTTATGCTGTTAAAATTATCTCAAATCTTCTAAATAAGGGTCTAACAAGGCATTTTAGTTCACTTTTCTTTCTCAGTCTGAGACTATGAACTAGTGCAATCTTGATAAAATAATCACTCTTCCCACAAGTATTCTTATCTTTCAGGTATGTAGAATGACATGTATTTCTCTTTCAGTTTTACTGAAATAAAATAATACATTTCAACTTTTACTGAGCTGCAATCTACATATGCTGTTTTCTGCATAAAACTTTAAAATGTGTCACACTACAGAAAATAATGACTTGGTCATTATATTTCACGTGTTGAAAAGCTACTGCCAACATTTTGGAATCAATACAACAGCACTGTAGAATTTTTCTTACTCATTAAATCAGGAATACCTTGACCATCAATGCCTCCTCTCCTTCCTTGACTAAAAATGCCAGGAGTTCCTCAATGTAAGGAGCAGGTGCCCAATTCCTTCCAATTTTGTAATACGGCAAAAGAATAAACTCAGTTCTGTTTTAAAAATTCCTTTTGTAGTTAGAGTACCATATAGACTAGGGCTCCATGCCTTGATGGAGCAATAAGGGCTTCACTCTGCAGCCTCTGCTCCCACAACTGAACTTAATTCAGATGGTCATCTGTATATAGCCTTGCCACTATGACAGCTCAAACACCTGAACACAAAACACAGAGATAACAGGTATCTCCAGACAAGTACATTACAGAACATGAATCTGCAAGTGTTCAGAGCTACCTCATATATAAAATGTTAAGCATAAAACCAGATTGACCACAAAACTTATCTAGGGAACAGGAAAATGAATCACAGCCTTCTTCAATGTTCACTAGCAACAGAAATCCTACTTACACAAACCACATAAAGAAAGGCTTAAATAACCTTGGATTTGAACAGAAAAAAAAGAAAAAAGATGACTGCTAAACTTTGTTTGATAGACAGAAACAGAAATGGATCTCAATACTACATTACAGCTACTTTAAAAATTTTAAAATGCTCAGCACGAGGCTTGTTACATTTCTCAAGTCTCAGCTATTTCGATGATTTCAAAAGTATCTCACCATCATGAACAGTATAATTTTTTTATATTAAAGTATGATTTGAGAGTTATTACAACAGCTGACATTTCAATAACAAAGAATACAGAAAGCAGAACTAAGCAGCATCATTCTACACACTGTTAAATTATGAAGACAAAGAATGCTAAACCCATATTGTTCAGCTCATCAAAATAAAATTAACCTACCAGTTGAATCAAAATTATATTCCAGCAGTCTACTAAATTTGCAAGTCATACTGTCTCTCAAATTCAAGATAACTCACAAGTTTGTTCACTCTAAACTATTGGGTCAGTGTTTCTTCTCTTCTTTGACACAGAATCACTAGAAACAAAGAAACATCCCAAATTTTATAGAGTTTTTTGAATGCTACCTGTAATGAAGGTTGCATTTTGGAAATGCAGCAGATAGAGGAAAGAAAAGATCAGAGAAAGGGCCTCTCATGCTTTTCCTACCACATGCTCTAAAATTAGAACTGAAAACCTAATAAATGCATGTCTCACTGGGATGAACTTCCTTTTCTTCACAGCGGCTCATGCAGTGCTCCATGTTAGACGTGTGAGCGAAACACTGCATTGACGGCACGCCAGGGTTTTGACTATTGCTGAGCTATACTTGCAGTGTTGAGGCTTTTCTTTTACCCCATTCTGATCCCCTGAAGGAGCCTACAGGTGGAACAGAGGTGGGCAAGGAGCAAGGACAGCTGGCCTGAACAAGTCAGAAAGATATTCCCATTCACATAACAACACACTTAGCAAAAAACAGCTCTATAAAAGGAGCAGGGTGACATTAGAAGGCCTGTGCAGGGGTGACCTCAGTCAGCAGCTAAACACCCTGCATTACTTGCTCATTCCCTGCCCTCAAGATGGGAGAAAACAGGAAAAGCAAATGTGACAGAACATGTGGGTCAAGATAAAGATGGTTTAATAAACAGAAGGTGTCAGGGAGGATGCCAGTGATGCAAAAGCAATCACTTATCACCTCTCACAAGCAGACTGATGCCCAGTCTGAACAACACCCACCTTGGAAGAAGAAACATCCTCTCGCTTTTTGGTGCCTTAACATATCTCTCTGGTCAACTTGGTTCTCTGAATAACATCCTACATCTGGGCCATGGCAATCCCAGGCACATCTACAGGTTGGGTGGGGAAGTAATTGAAACCAGCAGGGAGGAGAGGGACTTGGGAGTGACAGTGGATGAGAAGCTCACCGTGAGCCAGCAGCGTGCACTAGCAGCCCGGAAAGCCAATCGTATCCTGGGCTGCATCAAAAGGAGTGTGGCCAGCAGGTCGAAGGACCTGCTCTCACAAGACCCTACCTGGAACACTGCACACAGTTCTGGTGCCCTCAACATAAGGAGGACAAGGAACTGTGGGAACAAGTCCAGAGGAGGCCATGAAGTCGATAAGAGGACTGGAGCACCTCCCTTATGAAGACAGGCTGAGGAAGCTGGGGCTGTTCAGCCTGGAGAAGACTGCATGGAGACCTCATAGCAACTTTTCAATATCTGAAGGGGCCTACAGGGAAGCTGGAGAGGGATTCTTTGATAGGAATTTCAGTGACAGAACAAGGGGTAATAGGTAGAAATTGAAAGAGGGGAAATTTAGGGAAGGTATCAAGAAAGTTTTTACTGTGAGGGTGGTGAGATACTGGAACAGGTTGCCCAGGGAGGTAGTGAATGCCCCACCCCTGGCAGTACTCAAAGCCAGGCTGGATAAAGCTTTGACCAACCTGGTCTAGTGGGAGGTATCCCTGCCCATGGCAGAGGGATTTGGGACTAGATGACCTCTAAGGTCCATTCCAACCTCTTAACCTTCAGTGATTCTATGAAAACAGAGAATGCCTCAACACTGTACACATACTTGTCAGCAAGAGCCAAAACACTTGTATGTTATCAGAACTGGTTTAGCCCCAAATATGAATCATGACACTTTACTCACTGCTGTAAAGAAAATTAACTCCACCCCATCCAGACTCAGTACCACCACCACCAAGAAAGAGCTTCGCCAATTTTCCAGAGAAATGTAGAATTATTAATGGCATAAATTGTTATCCATGGAATTAAGAGAAAAACATAGAAATTAAATGCTACACTAAAGTCCTGGGAAAATACTCCTTTTCTACATAATCAAAATAATTCCCTCAATATGTACACTATATAGGTGATATATATTTGGACCTTCAAGTGGACAGGTAGAAGACTACAGTTAGGCTGCTCTGCAGAGCTGATAGAAGAGATTGTAATCATAGAATTAGACCTCTGTCTAGCAGACTACAAACAAGCCTATCTATCACACTCATCCACAGAAATGTAAAGCAATTTACATAAAGAGTGGTGGGAACACACACAAAAGAAACAGGTTGGTGATAAAAATGAAGTCTGCCTACAAAGCACAGAATACAAGATTCCTGAAATGTACCCGCGATCTCTTTCCCCATAATCACTCAAGATAAATTCTGCGGGAATACAAGCAGACATACTGTTGCTCATATAAGCTATTGTGACTCCAGTCCTGCATCTGGATACACAAAATACCTATGAAATAAAAGAAACTTCTTTTGTTTCATGTTTCCCTACTATACTTCAGCTTACTACTTTTGTATGGAAAATCTTGGTCTACAATTTATTGATACTATAACTGCAATCAGTACTCGGCAAATAAAGAGCAGATTGCTTTCATCTTGTCTTTGTCCTGATTACAATCACAAAAACTGTAAGAGAATAAGAAAAATATTATCAAGGACAATTTTGTAATGATCTGACCAGATTTTGAAAGAGATACCTCTCAATTTATGGAAACAGATTAATATAAAAAAAGCTTATAGTTACTGGAAACTGTAAAAGAGATGCATGTAAATGAGAAGCTGCACTTTTCAGAGCCAATATTTTCACCTTGAAGACAAACAAAAATGAAGACATTTTTACAGATGCAACAATGAACTCTCTGCACCAAGATATACTTAAAGTTTCATTACCTTGCAAAAATTCAAGCTTCTTATATCTGTTTTGGATTCAATGCCCTGTTTGTGGTTTTTCAGCCACTTCCAATTATTCCATACCACAAAACCATATTAGTCTTCCCATGTTTAAATACTTCTTTCTTACACTGTCCACATTAAATGAACTAATCAAGAAGTAAAAGCCCACGAAGTTATTCCCTCTTTCCTGCTTCTTAATTAATGCCATCTGCAGTAGATATACATTACAGAATTTGGGCAGTTAGTATCTTCATTTTGAGGCCTTATTATCTTGCACTGAATTCTTCATTACATGTTTGAACTTCCAGCAAGCTTACCAGTTTGATACACAAATTGAGTTGGACAGAATGTGAGCTTAGGAGTACCGTCATCATTTTCCAAAACATGCAACAAAAATGAAGCCTTTTAAGGCTATTTTCATTCTGTTCAGCACCATAGAATCTCCTTCAGATATATGTAATCCACACCTCAAGTGAATCCAGCACTGTATTATAGAGTAATCTAAAGTAATAATGTAGTAACTTTCTGAAGGTATACTACTTAATGATGCAAAACCATTTGAGACTAGTATGAGCTCTACTAATGTGCTGCTTATTTTGACATCACTTAGAGTGGGGGCTCCTAGCCTATCACCCTCCTAATAATCCATGTAACTAGAGAATGGGCAAAAGAGCATTTACCTTCATGAAAGGCTGACAATGCAGCTAGCCTGGTTTTCAATGAGGATGTCTGGAGGCCAGACTGATTAATGGAGAAGGTATTCAAGCAGCCTGGGTGTGGCATAGGCAAAGGTTCATAAGGGTCCAATTGTTAAGCCTCAACCCATCGTCCATGTGAAGTCATATGAAAAAGTCCACTGAACTTCTTAGAGAGAAGACCTCGACATTTTCTCAGACACACCAGCTGCTGGATCTCTACCCACTCAGAAGCCAAGCTGGAAGTGAGAGAAATTCTCCATTGGGATGAAGAATGCTCTGGTTCTAGGTGAGCAAGACTGAAAAATGCATATTTTTGAGGCAGGCATTGACCTCCATTAAAAGAGGAAGGTGAGTTTTAGCTACTGAGAAATCTTCCATCTACAACAACTCTAAAAACAAGACTATCAAGGATGGAGATGTACTGATAGCTTCTTTCACAGAAGGGGAACAAACATTTTTTCCCCTTTCTTGTAAATACCCATTTTAATTACTTGAAAAATCTATTGACTGTTTCAGATAAAATTAACGTTTGTATTTTGCCATTTCAAGCAGACAAATACACACTGAGTAGCATCCAAGCCACTTCCAACAGAGCATTCTCTTAATTACAGATCCACAATTTATGGATCTACATCATCCATTCAATGCACAATTTACAGTGTGTAGCAACTGGTTTCCAGAAGAAGGACAAATAGTTCAAAAGAAACTAAGGTACACTTAGGGTCTTTAAGCTGTAAGAACTTGTGTGACGTTACAAGTAGCTACTAAGCAAGTTAGGGAAAATGATTACATAAAGATAACTACAGTCTTTAAATCATAGCAGTAAAAAATTATCAGCAGCAAGTTATCCAAATGTAAAACAGACACCATTCTTTTTACCATCAAAACTTACCTATTATAGTATCTGCCTCCCATCATAAACTGATTATTTGATGTTGGACATATTTTAAAACGCTGAATATTTTCACTGGTCCGAAAATAGAGTGAATAATCACCAGGTGTATTATCTGAAGGCCTCACAAGAAAACTGCACACCTGACCAACTGAAAAGATATCATAATAGTGTTAATTTTCTTAGTGTTATACATCAACCCTTATCAAACCTATTTCCATGTAGATTAGCAAGAATTGCATACTTGAAGAAATGAAATCCTGTAAGGTAAATATATCATAGAATCATATAATTTAGGGGTTGGAATGGACCTTACAGATCATCTAGTCCCAAAGGGCTGGAATGGACATTACAGATCATCTAGTCCCAGCTCATCTGGCCTGGCCTTGAACACCACCAGGGCTGGGGGAGCCACCACATCCCTGGGCAACCTGTGCCAGTGTCTCAACACCCTTAGAGCAAAAAACTTTTTTTTCACTTCCAACCTAGACTTTCCCTCCTTCAGTTTGAACCCCTTGTCCTATCACTGCAGTTCCTATCAAATTAGACGAACTTGTACTGAACCACCAAAATTAATGAAAAATGGTCTAGCTGTAACTTGCAACCTAGCCACGTATTTGCCATCTCTTTACAAAAGCATATGAAACCAAGTTTAATAGCATTTTGTAAAAATAACAATTTCTGTTCCAATATTTAAAGTAGGCTATTAAGTAATACGGGTCACAAAACCTGATGTTTTCTTTTAAAGAAATACTTGCTTTATGAAAGGGCTAAAAATGTTTCTAATATATTGTCCTTTCGGTATTTAAAAGGTATTTAAAAATGCTCCACAGCATTTTGA